CTACTATATCATATAGCTGCCATACAAACCGACCGGTCAAAATCAAGCCCTCATAATGAAAACTTTTTATTTGGCAAAGTATCGTCAAGAAATTTGGCATATATTATTATCTCAGGCATCGCTATAATCTCCGAATAAATTATTCAGATCGGACCACTATAGCATATAGCTGCCATATAAACTGACTCATCAAAATTAAGATAGAGATCTTTTATACCCTTTCATGTTATACTATAAAAATGCACCTTGAATTATAGCTTCGGTGCAGCCGAAGTTAACTTTTTTCTATTATTTTTTTTGTAAATTTTGTGATATCGTTATTTATAATTGTTTTTTTTTTTGTATGTTTTTGATTTCATATTTCTTTTTCCTTTCAAATGTTCGCTCGATTCGGTCGATTGCTGCCACTTTTCCTTCTTCGTCTGGATAAGCTTTCACTTATCGCAACAGCAGCACATACCATACAAAGAAAAACTTATATTCATATGCTGTATGTATGTGTGGTGTGTGTTCGCTGCTTCTTTAATAACTAATATAGGCACACGCGCTCAATTACACATTTTCTAAGCGTTTATTGTTTTTGACGTTGGCAAAGGCGTAGCCGCTATGCGTCGTCGTCGTTGCTAGCTCAATGCTCCATGCAACAACGCATTCTCAGAAGTTTATCCGCACAAATCGCGCTGCCATCACCTTTCCATTGACGTTGGTTCTGCTTATTATTTACATACACACATACACATATATAATATATTTTTTTGTTGATTGCAGCTTAGTTTACTTTGCGCACTTTGCCTTATCTTGCCGCGTCTGTGGTTGTGCTCATCGCACTTTTTGTTTACATTTCATTCAATTAAATTTTCTCAGCTAACAACGAAATCCATACAATGTTCGAATAATTTTTGGCTATATCAATATTTACACACGTCTGCCGTTACTTGTGGTACACACATACTATATACATATTTACATCAGAAAGCATATGGCCGAGAAATGCATAGTTACGTCTGTTAGTTTAATTTATGTCTCAAGATGAACCTTTTCAGGAAATTCGTATAGTTTACGGTTCTAAGCGAATATTCCGTAAGGGTTGAGGTGTTCCACAAGTTCACGAGCGGTGTATGAAGCAAAATTAAGTAGAGCTTCTCTTCTATAGTTTCCAAAGATTTAAATATATATACATACATTTCACAAAAAGCAAATATATCTTTGTAAAGGACTCTTCCTTGAACACTATCTAAACCCGCTATTATACGTTTTATTTTAGCTACCACCAATAACCCATTAGTATTGTAGCTTCCTCAAAATCGCTTAATAATCGAGTTTTTTCTCCGGTGCCTACACAATCTCTTACAGTTTATCAACTCCGAACGGTCTGAAAAGTTTGTAGACTTGCTGATAGCTTTGTAGCTTTATTCCTATAAAACTAAAAGTTTTTGGTGTCTTATGTTACTTCAACCAATATCAGTTGACAAAAGAGAACCTCTAGCTAAGATAGTACGTTTGTTTACTGTCAATTTCGGCCGGCAGCAGTACCGTTTTTGTGTCTATCTAACGTTCTGGAAGAAAAAATTTTCGAGAAAACTCCACCAGCCGTCAAAGCATCTGAAGCCGGACATTTGAGTTCTTTAATGTTGGTTTTCTATATCTTTGGAGAAGTCTCACTCAAGTCTTTAGTTGATTTAGTATTAAAGCTTCATAAAGTATACTCGGCGGTAAAAAAGTATTCAAGGTTTGGCAAAAAGTTCGTTAGGCTCCTCAAATTTTTAAACTGTCAAAGATTTTAGTTCACTGAGTTATAATATTTTAATTTAATATTGGAATAAACTTTTAGGCTCTATTTCAGAAACTTTTTACTGTTTTCGTTATTTCTTTATATCGGTCTAAGGAAGCCTCCTTCTTTCATAAATAATCCAAGTAAATAAGTGTTTCGCAGAAATATTCGCGGCATAATAGGCATTCTCGGACATTACACACTGTTGACTCTTTGATATCATATAACCTCAAAAGCTCGCCTAGCTCTAACCTCAGATCACTTTCACTTCCACTTTGAGAAAATATTTTTTGTTTTACATAATATTTACTAAATTTTTATTGTTGTATTTTTCTTAACGGTCAAAATATTCTACAGAAACATTCAGTTCGATATACTCAAGGTTGTCATAGGGTTAAGTAGGGTTCGTGGCAATAAACTGTTACATTCCTTATAAACATTTTCTCTTATGAAGTATACTCTGCATATTTTAAACATGTCGAAAATCACTCGCTTGTTATTGTTGGTGTTATAAACATGACTTTTCAGTTCTATTTAGACATCAAATTTATGCCCGAGTGCTAGTGTGTGGTAATTGCAAAATATTTTATGTATGTGTAATTTTCATAATTTATTCAAAATGATTTACGTAAATGCAAAATTTAGAACCCGCAAATTGCTAAAAATGTTTAACTTGGACGAAAGCGTGCAATTAAAATGATTGGCGAAAGTATCGTTCTTATAGATATTTATTATACAGTCTTTGTATTGAAACTAATGTTAGTATGCGCACCAGTAAAGTAAATCTAAACATAATATGTGCGTAGCAATAAACATGTCTCGAATATTTAATATGATGTTTGAAAAGCTTTTGCATTTATATTTATTTTCATATATATATAGGTGTTTTTCTTTTTGGGGTATATGGATTACTGGAGGGATATCTGTCATATCAGCTGTCATACTAGCTGTCAAATTAAATACATGCGTTTGACATTACTGTACTTTGTCAAATGACCCAGATAGATTACTACCCAGCGATGAGACAAATTTCTGAATTAACATTAACGCCAGTGAGTAAAAACAAAAGCAATTCTGAAGAGACACCCAAGGTTCCTTGCGATCAAAAAATTTACAGTCTGATGTGGCTTATATTTGTAGTAAATATTTGTTAAAAACTAAACTCAATTAACTTTTAACGTGTTATTGGCAATGTAGAGACCACAGCTGGTTAGGAAAAGTACTGCGAAATCATACTGGTCTTCATAAGACGTCGTCGCAGTGGTCATACATCCATTTTTCAAATATTAATGACATACAACTTTTGAATTAATAAATCCACTTCAGTATTTTTTTGGAAATATATAAAATAACAGTTCCATAGCTCTAACAAAAGCGCGCTTTATTACAAATTTGACGATTACCAATTAAAAATATTTGATATTTTGACTACATCGCAATCTATTGGCTTAAATTAAAATACGGAACTTTCCACCAATAACAGAAGTACCAGAAAATGGATGCCCACAATGATATATCACTAAATAGAAAATATTGCCTAAATTTAGGCGCATTTTGCTTGATTTGGCTTTTAGACTGTGAGTCGTTTCGAATACAAAATTAGTAAACAAATTTTTACTAATGCGTCGAGGATTATATCTTTGAATCGGTAAAGTTAGATATTGTTAAAATATACCGTTGTATCTACCATATATGTAGCAGTTATCGAAATAACGGCAAATTCAAAAATAATCGCGCTGCATTGCTAAATATTATTTCTTTAATATTCCATATTGATAGTAATTTCCTGCATCTCTCACCAGCTGCATGTCAATACGTTGGCAAATCAGTGCATTTTCCGAAAGCCCAAAATTCATGCGCCACCCCTTGAACGTCAATCTAGTGCCCAGTTGTTGCAGCTGACGGTGACTTCTATAAAATAAACATAGAAATATACATATTATATGAGTATGTGTATGTGTCGAACCATGTGTTTACATAATCCATATGAACCCTGGGCCGCCGTTGAAGAAGCAACTTTCTAGGTGTATGTATGTATGTAAGTGGGTATCTTTCTCTCTTGTTAATAAACATAGAAATATACATATTATATGAGTATGTGTATGTGTCGAACCATGTGTTTACATAATCCATATGAACCCTGGGCCGCCGTTGAAGAAGCAACTTTCTAGGTGTATGTATGTATGTAAGTGGGTATCTTTCTCTCTTGTTCTGTTTATTTATTACACTTACGCATTTCACTTGAGTTTTGTTAAAGTGTTACGTTCAAAAATAAATTCAAAATAACAATGTGTTACGTGTTTGCTTGTAGGTAATATATTTGGAAAAGTTTTCAAACCAATTTCCTAGAAAATAAATAAATATAATAATGAGAAAGAAATTTATGGTGTGTATTGTAAATGGTTTTCAACAGGACACGCTCGCATCATTCTGCAGCAAATCAATTTATGACGTGCGTTCGTTTCGCATTTTTTATTTTGTATAAAATTTTTTCAAATTTACTTATTTTATTTTCCTAAATTTTGTTTGTTTTGTAATTTTGAAATATTATTGAAAAAATATAAGTACATTTTCTCTATTTATTTAATTTTTTCTCTTCTATTATTATATCCTGAAAACTTATATATTGTATATATATTAAGTTTACCACAGAAGGTAACGTCGAGGACCAATATAAAATACATATATATATATACATATATGGTAAATGATCAGCGTGGTGATCTGATTAAGCAATGTCCGTCTTTCTGTCTGCATATATACGAACTAGTCCCTCAGTTTCTGAGATATCGATCTGAAATTTCGCAAATTGTCTTTTTCTCTCAAAAAGTTGTTATTCTTCTTTTTTTTAGAATCTCGGTCAAACTTTGTTTTAAGCGCCAATTGGCAGACCGTATCGTGTGATACCGCAAAGCGAAAGAGAAGAACTATAACCTGCGCAGTATGGAAAGCAAAATATTATCAATATAAATAAAAAATATATGAAAGAAGTAATACAGATATTGTTAAGGGCTCTATACCGCTAGGGGGTTCTGACCAAACAAGTGTTTTATGTAGAATGTCAAGAAGAAAGTGAAGAAAAACGCATAATCTTAAATAAAGCCCTATAACATTTTTAACCATCTATAGCATGATTTACAGTTTTTTCCCAAAAACATATAAACGCAAAAAAAAAACAAATAAAATTGTTTATTTAATGCTCTACCCCTATTTTATTCCTATCTTTCAGGTGCTGGTGAATCGGGTAAAAGCACAATTGTCAAACAAATGAAAATTATCCACGAAAGCGGGTTTACTCCAGAGGATTTTAAACAATATCGGCCGGTTGTCTACAGCAACACAATACAATCATTAGTTGCAATACTTAGAGCGATGCCAATACTCGGTATTGCGTATCACAATAATGAACGGGAGGTAAGTACAACCACTTATAGTAAAGGATTTGCAAATTTTTATGTGCTACAGGGTATACGGTGATTTTCAATAAATAGTTATCTATAAATAGCATATTCAAAAAATCAAATAAGAGGCACAAGAGATACAGTATGCAGTTATTCATTCTAGTAGTAATCTAGTCTCTAGTGGATATGTCGATCTTTTTACACAGCCGTTCAATCGTCTTGGCCTGACTGACAAACTATCTCAAGGGCCTTATGCTATTCCATGTCCAATATAGAACCTCAAAACTGAGGTTGTGAGTAGTATTTCGACTCTTGCAAAGTCTATCTGTGTATTTTGGTTCGAGAAATATGATGATTCCTAACGGTTTTTATATCTTGATGGCTTTTACAGAAAATCACATTAACCGGATAGGATGAAAATGAACCATATATAGACGATATATAACGCTGAACTTAGTTAATCTTAAGCTTACATCGTTGCCCGAAATTTATCAAGGCCCTGTTCTACTTCATTGCTCCTCCAGCTCACCCTGTATACTTGCAGTACGACTGATCTTGACTGTTAAATATCCACGTGAAACTATGTTAAATATCCACGTGTGTACCATATATGTTAATACGCTAAAGAGCCAAAGTGTGGGTGTGTAAATGTGGGTTGAGGTTGTGGCTTGTGGGTACTGATGCAGACAACACACACATACACAACCAAACAAGCCCATACGTATGCATATGCTAACTGTCATGGCTCTCACTGTGGCATATGGCGTTGAAAGCAACAACGATTTCACATACACATATACATATATATAACATTTTGTGGCAACTACGCATGTGTGTGTGTGGGTGTGCGTTGCCGTTATTACATTCGATGTCCTTTGCGAATTGCAGATGCCATTACATTTTCCCTTTATCATACTCTCACATTCCGCTTGCCATGTTTTAATATCCCAACAGACATATGTACATACATACCAACATACATACAATCCAACATATAGTTACATATTCTTATATTCATATAAGAAAGTTAATCTTACTTGAGTCTCCAGTTTCCTTACATATATACATACATATCCTTATTTCTAAGGACATTAATAAACTCACCTTGTGTTTGTATATATGTATATATGTGTTGTATATGTGCTCTCATGTATTTCCTTTATTACTTTCAGAATGATGCAAAAATGGTATTTGATGTTTGCCAACGCATGCACGACACGGAACCATTCTCAGAGGAGCTTTTGGCTGCCATGAAACGATTGTGGCAGGAAGTTGGCGTTCAAGAGTGCTTCTCACGTAGCAACGAATATCAATTGAATGATTCAGCTAAATAGTGAGTACTTTATTTTTATAACCATTTAATTTGATTTACAAATACAGAAATACACCTAGTCGACTAATTGATTACACTTAAATATATATAGTTGGGGCATAAATTATTTCATATTTTTCATATAATCATAAGTACCGAAATATTATATATCGGAAATAATCCAATTAAAGACTCGTATTTTAGCAATCTAATTTTATTTAGAGCCATAAGTAGCTCCTTGTTCCTTGAGACCGCCAAGTAGTAGATCTGTTCCACTGGACTAGTATACATAATAATATTGTAAAATCAAAAACTGAAAAATGTTAAAAATTTCTAAAATTAGGAGCTGATGAAGTGGGTGGTATCAAGAATTTGGCACGTGGTCATACCCACGATTTCAAACCTTTTAGCTATCTGAAACCACAAAAAAAAATGTTAATCTGGACTAAAGTCGCAATGTCTGGTTGGAAAAAAAATTATTCACGAAAAAAAGTATTCCCTGCCTACAAAACAAAACAAAATTTTGTACAAATTTTTTTTTGGCTTTTTCGAATTTTTTAAAAAAAGCAAAAACTGAAATTTGAGTATATGGATAGTTACAGGCATAGACAAATCAAATTTCAGGTAATTCGGTTCAGTAGAACCTCAGAAATTGTGGGTATCGTTAAAAAAAAAACAGTTCCGGCCGAACCAGATTGGATGTCGGGTCAGCTAAATACCTATATCTTCGAACATAATTTGAATTTTGCAAAATATTCTTATATACAAATTCTTGAATAATTAAACTTTGAAACTCTGATAAACAATTTTTTTTAGACTAGAATATCTTCTTTCTTCTGTTTTGAAACCTGATACTGATAATACAGCAATCTCCTTTAATTCCGCGTGAAATTTTTACTGAACAAAGCTACGAGTACATAACAGCGTTCTACTCTATGTTCATTTCATCAGCCTTTAAGCCGTTTTGTAACTTTAATTCGAACCATTCCGCTTACAATCTGTACAGTTAACTGAACAGTTATCACTAGTATGAATTTGAAATATCCCTCCAGGAAATAATGTGGATTTAATTTACAAAATTATGAATTATTATGAATGCCTGAAGAAAATACAGTGGACCGGCCTTAATTTTAGCTCGTAGCAGATATTTTTGTTATGGATCTGAAGTCAACATCTCCATAAAATAATGTTTGTGTAATCTATGGATAATAACTGACGAGATTGAACCAATACTCGAACGACCAATCGATTGAAGTGAGAAGTTTTAATATCTTTTTACCATTTTATTTAGGCTGAATGACTAATAAATTTGTATACAGTAAGAAAACATAGTATCGACCCATCACTTTTTTTTGTAATTGTGTGCTCTTCATGCTCTAATTATAAGGGAATACGTATTTTTAATAGTAACGTGATCAGAAAAGTCATCGCATTTGGAAGACATTAGGTTTAGCCCAAGTGTTTTGAATATAAAGAGTAATGGGGCTAATATATTTAGTATTTGGAAATGTAGTGCTTCAGGTGCATATCTGTCCTACTGAAATTCCGGCAATATTATAGCCGAGTAGTTCTGGTTCGGCTTAAACACCTTCCCGACTTAAGCTTTTATTTTGAGCTTACTTGTAAAAGCTATAGCGGTGATCTGCTGTTAATTAGACATGGATATATCAACTTTATAATAACATTACGACCATTTCAAAACTTTAGAATATAGCGCCATCTATTGACAAAAAATTTGAAAGCTTTTTAATATATCTTTTGAACTTTATAAAAATTGTTTATAATTAGTATTTTTTTTGAGATTTTGCGTTAATTTTAGATATGTAAAAAAATTATACTACACGTGCCATAAATATGTTATATAACTTAATACATGTGTATACTCGTATGTATCTATAACTAAATTTGATACGACTATAAGGTCCGTAATTTATGCAATGCATTGGCATAATTTGCTTTTGCGCTGAGCACGTATTACATCCATATTGTCGAGACTAAAGTATAATATTGAACGATAATAACAACAACAGCAACAAACTAGCAGTGCAAATATTGAAAATGCAAACTCATATGCTCCCACGCTCCCGTTACGCTGCACTGCAATGCCGTTGGCTGGTGATTTTGGCAAATTCTAAACCATCGCTGTTGAACCTGCTGCCTGTCTGTCCGTCTGCATACTGCCAACCCCACTCCATCAATCAGCTCGTGCGTTACTCAGCCCTTAGCGTCAATTTAAAATTAAGTGGCGACTCTGGAATGTAGGTTGAATTCACTTTGTACACTAATTCGCCGGAATTGTACTCCACTTTGTATTTTCGAAATATCTGCAACAAAAACAAGCATAAACAAAATGAAATGACACATATGTATGTGATGCGAGCGATTTCGTTAAAATGGCCAAGTGGCTTAAGTGCATATACTATATACGCTTAGATAAGTGCAAACCATTTCACAACGCAGCATTGCATTGCAATATGATGAAGAACAAGTTTTTATTATTGTTTTTGCTTGCATTATTTTTGTAGAGTTCTACGCTGGCGTTGAATTTCGAAAGGCATGAAGCCTGTGAGCATTTGCTGGGCAATAGAGATGTCCTTGGGCTTTTAATCATGTGCATACGAGTAAAGGAGCTTTCGATTTTGAACGGTCTGAATGTGTCGGTTTTTGACCCAAAATTTATTTTAACGCTTAAGGAAAGCATGTTGTCGTTTAAGACTTTTTTTAAAACTCCAATAATGACCACAAAATTTTTTTAATAACTCCACACCTTCTAGAACACTTATTTAACTCGAAAATTTACTTTAAAACTGAGTGGGTCGCCTCTAGATGTTAAAAAAAAAATTATTTTTTTTCTCAAAAATTTTATTTTTTTTTGTCAAAATTTTTATTTTTTTTTGTCAAAATTTTTATTTTTTTTGTCAAAAATTTTATTTGGTTTAAAAAAAAAATTTTTTTTTCCTCCACCCTACTATTTAGGCCCATATGCTCGGGTAACGTGTTCAAAATATTAAATATTTGTTCTGAAAAACGTTTAATGTAAGCATTGTTCCCAATTTAAACCCAATGAGGTGTTCTTAATGGTTATATTAACCCACCTTTGATCACGTATGATCGATCATGATTTGAGGCGATTTTTCAGAGGAAAATCTGGTCATCTAAAGTCTTCATCGTAAAGAAGTCTGCGCGATGTGCTGTAGCAGTAAATTCTTCGACGACCAAGATCTGACTGGTCCAAAACCTGACAACCACAGTTTGCTGAGGCTGCGGATCATAATAATGCATGTCCGTCAAATGGACTCCAACTCGTTCGAGAATTTCGCCATTAACTTGTCGAATTTTGTTGTAAGACTTTGAGTCGTAGAAGATACCAACGGAGTACCCTTTAATGGTATATCAAAATGTTGGTGGCCTCTAATCTTTAGATGAGGTACGGTTTAAGATTCGTTTCGCTTTTGTTCGACAAAAACAATATATGTAAGTATATAAACAAGTATAATTTTTATGGTAGAAAAATGGTCCAAAAAGGTTCTATAAGGCTCCTAAACTCTATTTAAAGTTAATAATTTGATGGTATGGTTATTCTCGCAACTTCATAAAAGTATGTAGTCCTTTTCGAAGCGTTTTACAGTTTTTTTCGATGGATATGCGTAAGTCGCTTTACTAGGTACTGCAGCTAGTATTCCTGTAACTGATATTTTTGAGTCGAGATGTATTGAGGACGAGTTCAGTTGCATTTACTTATGCAAATTATTTGTTTGTTCTTATGAATTCGTGCGATTTACACTTTAGGGCCGATACCCTGTTATGAAAAGAAGCGATTTTCATCGGACTTATTTTTCGGAGTTTCCGAAATAATTTTTCGGTACTTCCATAAATTTACAAATGGTCTTACGCCTTGTAATGGTATATTGTTGTTTCTTAATGATTTCAAAGTTTTGTCGAACGATTCTCCGGTTCGACTTTCGTAAATGGGTTCCACTTCATCAAAATCAATTTTCGATTCTCCCGAAGCGCGGATCTATTAAGGAAATCAGTTTTTTTGTGTCCCATTCTTTATTCCTATATATCACTATTATATACCAAAGGCCTCCAAGGGTTTTTCCAACGGTTAAAAACGAAATGAGCTCTCAAAAAGCGCTTGCTGTTTACCTCTAGCTTTGAAATGACCTTACTAAAACCTCCCTTTTTATGTCTGTGCATTCGCGCATTCATTCGTTTACACATTGTTCGCGATACTCACCTTCGCCAACAGCATATTCAATTCAATTTCGGCAAATCGACGTCCCACACACATGCGTCGGCCATAGCCAAACGGTAAACTGACAAAGGGATGAATTTTACGTCCGGCATGTGGGCATTCTACACCTATGGATTTTAATGAAAATGTAAGGCATGAATAAATTGCAATACACGCGCATGCACACACACACGCACGCGCACTGACTGGACGCGTTTCGTGCGCGAAATTTGCAACGACATTTAATTTGTTTTTATTATTTTTATTTTTTTTTTTTAACAAAAAATCTTTTTCAGCTTACAAGTACATACTTTCTGCGGTCGAGTGGGATGGTGTGTGTGTGTATATGTGCATTTTTTTTCTTCTGTTTTCTGTGTCAATTGGCATTGACACATGCAATGAATGCTTGGCATGGCAACTCACTCGTTTCGCTTCGCTTCAGCCAACGTTCGGGCAGAAAACGTTTCGGTTCTGGAAAATACGCGGGATCATTGGACACCACCAGATGCGGGAATATGACATGTGTCTGAAAAAAAACACCATAAATACATTTACAAGTAAACGGTGGGAGTGGGTAAATAAATAGAGAGACAAAAAAAATACCGTTAAAGTGATATTTGATTTATGTGTTTATGGGCACTTGTCGCCCAGCGTTTGGTTAGTAGGTGCTAGGCAATTATGATTATTAAAATTTAGACATTCAGAGGGGAGCGCGTTGACAGCATAATTTGTATCCTTGTATGTGTGTACCTTGGGTGTGGCAGTGTAACGGTAAATATTTGTGAATTTTATGTTTAATCGGACTATGATTTGTTGTGGTGTTACTAAAACGGTACATTTTTAACGATTTCGAATACTTAATTTATCTCTACCGTGCTTTATTTACGGGTCCAATACATAAAAATTGTTGGTATGAAAGCAGGGTTACAAATGATGCTTTAAAAAAACTATGTAATTAACATTTGAATAAAATTTTTTTTTGAAATCCCTAATACGGGCTTAAAAAATAAAAAAGGAAAAATTTCTATCTTAAGCATATAATTAAGAACTTTAAAAAAAATTGTTTTAGATTTACCATATTTTCGCGTTCATTTAAATCAAAGGGTAATAATTTTAATTTTTAATCCTAGCATCGGGTTTAAAAAATAAAAATTTCATTTTTAATCCCAAACCCTTGAGTTAAAAAATAAAGATAGATCCCGAAGCTCAGTTTATTAAGTGAATATAATTGATTCGGACAGAGAACATGAGTGGATTATTTTTGTCGTTTTCGTGAAATAATTTCAGTAAAATATGGTAAAATCTCCACAGCAAAGTTGTGACTGTTATATAGTTATACTCAAATAATCTACAGACCTTTGTTACTTCTTTCAAAGGAGGCAGGAAATGTTAATATAATAATATAACCGATCGGTGGATGTGCTCCTTTGACAAAAGAAGAAAACTAATACGACTTATAAAACTCCTCAGTTAAATAAAAGTCAATTTATAAAAATTACAATATTAGGGGAACACGTGGAATCAGAACCGACGTGTTTTTTTACTGTGTCAATTGTTTCTCGAAAGGGTAGGGTAGTTTTTTTCTCGTCTTCAAATAGTTAATTGTGTAAAAGTCGCACCATTTTAAAATAACGAATGCTGAAAGACTGGAACTGTGAACTTTGATTAACCTGACATCTGTCGACCGTTTTTGATCTAACAACAGCCAGACGAATTTCACAGTGTTGCATTTCTACAATAGCACTGGCTCAATACTTGTAAAAGACGCCGAATGTTGACAAATTCAAAAATAGATCACAAGATTATTAACCCCGAGAAATAAGTTCCTTGGTTTACTTAAGATCTTTATAATCCATTAATAAATAATGATTTATAGTCTTAAAAGGCTTCCCACTAAAACGTCTTCATCAAACCAGTCGAATGAGCTGGTGGAATGTTTAAATTGAAACGAATACTTTTACCTAATTTGGCGGATGATTGAAATTGCTCTTAATCACCAAGTCTAAATTACGCGGCATAAATGGATTTTGTGCTAAATATATTTTGCAAGTAGGCATATAACTGACACCTACCTACATATTAACATCTTGATAAATACTATGAAAAGTGTAAATAAATATTTGGGTGAGCCAAAAAAAAAAAAATAATATGCCTTCTTTCTCTGTATATGGGTTTAGTTTAACCCATATATTCGTTATTAATTTTTTTGTTTGCTCAGCCTAATGCATATTTATGTTTAATATATATATACCATACTTACACCTTTGGGTATGTGATAGCCAGCAATTACAGCGTCTGTTTGCAAACTTCTGCCATTCGCAATGACTACTGGATACATTCTGCAAACGACAAGAACAACAACAATAAAGAATAATTCCTTTGGCATTAAATATAATACTTATTGCTGTCATATACCATATTTATGTACATATGTACATATTATTCACTTGTTGGTAGTGTTTAAAAATAGCCCACCTCAAAGTCTCTTTTATGCAGGCTCTCAAATAAGGTATTTGCTCCAAAGCGCTTTGATCGATATCTGCTTCACGCGTTGGGAATACACTTCGCAATTCTTCGTAAAGCTTTTGCTGCTTCTCGGGATTTTTCGCTAATTGATAAATGGTCGACGAAACGGCAACGGAGGTCTGCAAGGGCAAATTAATATAATAATTGTCATTGATGTAGTCAATTATGATTGATGTGAATAAAATTTAATTGAGTGGCAAGAAAATAAAGAAAATAACATGCAAGGAAAAAAATAAAATATCATGCATTGAAATTGCATTAATTAATTAAAAGTGGGGAAAGTAAATTCGTTAAAAATGCAGACAATATTTTTTAAATTAAAAAAAACTAGGTATTTAAAATAATATGAAAAACTTATAATGAAGGGCTATGTTCGGGTGTAACCGCACATTTTATACTTTCAGTCTTTGCATTGTAGCTTGCCTAACAATGCTGTATATAAATATCATCAAAATGAGTATACTTTGACAGCTATTCCTATAGGAAATTATGTACCTTTAAGAAAAAGAACTCTATATAGCTGATACACAACTTTAGTATATGGGAAATCACAATTGTTCTTCCTTGGAGGCTTAAAAATTATTTTATTTATTTCTTTTTTCAATGAAGTTTCACTGCTATCGCTTGCTAAGAATGTGATTATTTTCTATTCCATGAAGTTTTTGAGAACTCAAAATTCTGGAATAATTCTAGTAAAATTAAAAGAGGCCAGAATAACAATAAACACGTACATCAAAACTCATATTACTGAAGAAATGTTGACCCTAGGCATGCCTCCATAAATAGTGTGGGTGTATTTCTCAGTCATTTTTGAACAACAATGATACGGAAAAGGAGCTGACCCATCTATATAATACGAATTATTTGAACAATTCTTTTTTCATAATTTATCTGCTTAAATGAGCATAATCTTGTCATCAGATATATATTTATATTATTAATCTTCCTTACTCTTCAATAAAAAAATGTTCACTTGTTCATTAACTTTATATATACTCACCGTATCCACGCCAACCAAGAACAAATCCAACGCCAGCACAGCTGCCAATTTGCGATTGCCCGTTTTGCGCACAATGCGTCCCACAATCGAATCAGCGCCGGCAGACTTCTGCAACGGCAGCGCAGCATCTTCGCGATCCATTGTGCGACTTATGTTTCGCATGCAAATTCTAGGGAATGAAATAATATACTCAAATTAATTAAACGCTAATCTTATACTAAATATACCAACTAATTATTGTTAAAATTATTAAGTACAACAATAACCATCAACTCACTCGGTAAACTGATCCAACGCCTTGACGAAACTGCGATACGCCTTGGTCGGATAGAAACGCCACAGTGGCATACGCAGCTCCAATTCAGGCACGGCCCAGAAAAAAGTGTTTATGGCGTTTATGATTTGTTGCGACTCCTCACTGCCATCTGGCGACAAGCAGCCAAGGCGTGTGTCCAATGCAACGCGTCCCACAGCTGTCGGGCGAGAGAAACACGTACAAAATGATATTTTCAGTTATAGCTTAGGTGCCTCATACAATAACATGCATATATGTATGTACATATATCACAGAAGAGTCCTGCTAGACATATTACATTTTTTTACAATTTATTTTACTCACATTCCAACGCCCATTTGTGTAATTCGTGCAGAAAATTCGCTGGCAGCTCATGGTTTTCATTGCGCATTTCATGTATTCTGTAATTTATAATTTACACACAAAAAGATTAGCAAGTAACGGTATTATATTACATACAAATTTACTTTATATTTTTTTTCTCTCTTTTTTGACAACTCATTTAACTAAAATTTTAAAAATTGTGCTACATATGTATATGTATTAATATTTTCATGCTTATAGTATATACAGTGGTGGCCATTTAATTGGGAACACTAATAATTTTTGCGAATTACTTTCGTAAAATGTGCTTTATTGCACTTACTTGTCATTTGATTTTAGTCGATTTTGCCATGTACGTCTGCCTGCATATACCTGAACTAGCACACGTATTCAGCTTGATATCTTAATAATGGAGCTTAACAGATTCCCAACTCTTTTTTTACTATTACACTCTTTTTTTAACATCAGTTTTTAAAGACAGACAAATATTGAAAACAAGTAAATTCTTCAAAAAAAAAAAAACAAATGAAATAGGTTTATATAGTTTAAGGGACATTTCCCTTGTTTTTTCAAAATTTATTGATAGAAGTCCAATAAGATAACAGTCCAATTTTCGGATCCATATTAAATAACCTCAGAAAAATCACGCCCACTTTGTTCATGTCTTTACAAATGATAAACTGATTAGTTATGAAGGTATCTTAGGTAAATTCGGTAGATATAGAAAATCGGCTATAATTTTTGGCGAAATGGCTAATAATCCCAACCACCTCGCATCTAACCGTAATTGTGATATATTTTATATAATGTTTCGAAAATCTTTAGTGAAAGATGGTTCGAACCTAAATGAACCAAAGAAGTGTTTATAAAATTGAAGAATTCATTCAAATACAGTTAAACCCTAAACTAGAACCAACTTAGTTTTTTGCAAACTTAATTTGAAGCTTAAAATAATAATTTTTATTATTTGATTTCGCCTTTAAATACAAGCACAGCGTTTTGAATTCAGAAATCGGCGTCTAACGGTACTTTTTGTGCTACAAATTAATTGTGCTCAGTTATCAATAACAAAAATATTATTTCTAAGAATCTACCCTTATAATCTGACTACCACTGCACACAAATATAAAAGTTAAACATTTATTTATCCATAAGACCTCACCTCTGCATAAATTCACTGGCAATTTCATTTAATGGCGGCACATACTGTTTAGCCGTTTGCGGTTGTAGTAGTATTTGTTGTACCTCTTGACGGAATAGCGCCCAGTTTTTGCCATGTCTAAGCGAATATACAAGCATAAATTCATTACATTGACATTACACTTCACTGCATTCACAAGTATCTACATGTGTGTGTGTGGAAAAGTAATCGCCTTCTTGCTTAGCTCTTCAATACTTACACACCAATGAGTCCGGCGATGTCGCCGAAGAAATCGCGTCGCAGTTTCCCCTTATAATGTTTCAGTGAAGGCATTGAGGGTCTGCAAAAAATGTACTCATAAATTAATTTACAACATTGAATTGTATGTTAGTAAAGAAAAATCGGTAGTAATATTAGTGGCGGCCTTGAGCTTTTAAAAATATATATAATAATAGTAGGGGTGCTCCTGCAACGCATGATTACTGATTTCACCGGTAAATCTCTACCTCACCTAGTCTGCACAGACGTACTTAACCGTCAAAAAGTTTCGCTAAAAATTCGAATGATCTAAGGATTTACCTAGTACTTACAATGGTTCTGATAAATTTTTCATTAGCAAGTGAATTTTATTAGTATCTCTGATTCTTTCTGAGTTAACTTTGTAAAGTTACCACCGTATGGTATCAGTTCGATATAAAAGAGTTTAAAAAGTGATAAAGGATAACTTTGACTACCTTTACTTTACCACCCTACTGACTACATGAAATGACCTATGTTATTTATACACGTAAATCCAACATTTTTTGATGTGGAGAATTTCTCTATTCATGTCAAGTCTACGCACCTAATTTCATCATTGAATTTTTATTCGTACTTACACCTGCCTAAAGATGGTAACAGTGACGACGGCTCATCTCAAAGCTGAATGAACGATTATATTGTAGTAAGAGAGTTTATAGGAGGGTATGTAATAATACATATAAGTAGTATGTAAATATGTAAGCGAGCATGGAGGTTTGTCGTGCGCCTCAAGGCATGCGTGAGACAGTGAATACAAGTAATTAAAATAGTTACATAAATAAAACAGTAAAACAATCTTTGTGGTAATAAAATACGGAAAAACAAAAAAAATTACAACAAATATATATATATATGTATATAGCTGCCACATTCATAATTCCAGTGAGCTCACATGCCATCTTAAGGTTTCCATATACAGTGACGCAATTCACAAAAAATATGCGTAAAGCACATATATATAGTATATGTAAGTGTGTATATATATATATTTATATAATTACTTGCGTGTGAATTTGTTTTCACCAAACACAATTGGGCAACGCTGGCTACAGGTAACTTTGTTAGAATCGTAAATCTTGAGGCGGAGGTGCTTTGATTTATAATTCCCTATTTAACTGATATACAAACATATATGTTATATGTATATAGTATATAGTATATATGTAGTATAGTATATACATATATATATAACGGGGTAATAAATAGTGCGTCGCACATGAGCAGACGTCACTTAAAATGTGCTGAGGCATATCATAGACGTGCACTTTCGCACGTCGATCGCTCGTCTAGGCGTAGGCTCTTGACAAACTGCAGCTTCTAGCTATTAAAGCGAGCGAACAATGAACGAATATCATAAAAAAGCTTTTTAACATTCGCTTTTATTGATTTTGTTTCTTTTTCATGAGTTTGACCTTAGATTCACATGTCAATTGGTTTTAATAGAGTATCAATATCGACAATGAACGTGACCTCATTGTGTTAGAAATACAAACAATTGCATTTTGTTTACTTTATTATTATTATAATTTTTTTTTATATAGGGTGATCAAATACGAAATTTAGAAAAATAAATATTAATTAAACGACATAATAAATTTGTATAGAGCTCATGTATAATATTTGGTATAACGCAATATTGATACATCGATTTTGTTCACTGATTTAGTCCAATTTTCTTTCTTTTCTTAGCATACAGGGCTTCGTATATCGCTGTGTTTAAGCTCTGATCTTATAAAAGTATATAATTTGCTCTATACCATTGACGGAGTTTAATACTTTCATTATATTAAGTGTAGTACAAAAGACCTGTGCCTAAATACCAATTTAGACAATAATTCAAACTGATGATGTTCGAACGGACGTTTCATAAGAGATCTTCAGAACCTTTACCATGCTAGCAGTACTTCATTACCGCTCTGTTATTTGGCACATATATCGATTTAATATTAAAAAAATATTATGAGTTATTTCAAGAATTTCAGACAAAATTTAGTCCAACTGTTTCATTGTGCTTGACTGTCAGAATATTAGATATTTATTCTTTAAATGAGAAACTTGTGAGAACAGTAGATCCAACGCCTTAAAACCTGCATTGGTCGGGAGACTTACATCAAAGATAAGCGCTTGCCTGTTTACTCTCTCTGAGAGAATGTTGGAAACCTCAAAGTTTAACTGATAGAAGAGAATTTCCCGCGGCGTCAGACTAAAGCGATATGTATATCAGGTGAATAAATTCTCCGTAACAAAACAATTGAACTACTATCTAACCACAGATTCCCCTTCTATATTCTTGACTTCTTCAAGCATAAAAAAATCACATACTTCTCAAGCAGCCCTCGTATGTGCGCACTTTTATTATTTTTACTGATAGTTTTTGTTTACATACATATGTATATATATAAACAACATACATTTTCATGAAACTGTTTCTTAAGTGTACATAAATATTTAGCACCTTTTTGTGTGGTGAACTTCGGTTATCGACTAGCTTTATATTGTTGGTTTTAATGATCAAAGTGTGACGACGGATCTTAGGATTTCGCACTTTCGATTTCTTTTTTAATACTTTGCCATTTATATTATGCTCTCTCGTGTTTGAAATATGCATTCGTAAATAGTAAGACATTGTAAAATAAATGAGTAAAGAGTGGATAAAAATGTTGAAAGCAAATAGGTGAGCTTCTATGTTTTTATTGTAGTTTCATTACAACATGGATCACGCAGCACTTTTTATTTTTAAACGTCATTGTAAGTAGCATGACTAAGTGATCTGCAGAGATATCTAGATATAAAACCACCCATTCTAACATATAAATTACAGGGTCTCTCAGTGGAAACTGAACTGAACAAAGCAAATTAGTCGTTTTAGCTGTCAAACCAAACCTTTGATACCGTAGAAACTGTAAACCTTCAGAAAACTTTGCTGCTGTTTGTAAAATATCAATCTTCGAAGCCTCATCTAACTTTAACTTATTGCGTCTCTCTCTCTCTCTCTCGTAAATAGAATACGATGTGCTACTTTTCGGGACTGACTAATTAAGTTCAGTCCATCCACAAAATTTATTATTGAAAGTAATGTGTCTTCGATTCGCCACTTTGCTGCCCGCTATGTCTGACCTCCACACTCAAGTAAAATAAAAAATACTTTTGAAAACTAATATCTACTACTAGCAATTACAGTTGAATTTAATAAAGAAGAGATTGGGACTACGTCAATAAAGTGGTATAATTTCTGGCGATTTTATTTCGCTTTGTTTATGCCAGTTTATTTCATTTATACCAGTTGTCTATTCGTTTCGCTTTTATTGGTATTATCCAAAAATGTGTATTTAAATTACCTGTGTGGCATGGTTTCTTCTTTTTTGAAAATATTACGAATTTCATCACCATCGAAGATAAACAACAAATCCGGGTGCCCTATTAACCCGCCAACCTTAACTATTTTGCCGTAGTTGATGTGTAACTCCTTCATGACCTTATCCAAATCCTGTATGCGATATTGGCCTGCAGTAAATCACAGAATATACAAATATATTTGATATGAAATATTTGCACTCAAACTCACCAACTAACGGCGCAAAGCGCCATGAATTGCCCAGCACTGGCATACCCCAGGGACCCGGTACGGCTGTATAAGGGCGTGCATGCGATAGCGGAGCGCTGCCATATAAAGGAAAATAAATAAATATAAATTTGAATATTTGTTGATTTTTTTGTGCTCGTTTCACATACCTCTCCTTTGCTTTGGTGGCTTCTACAGCTGGTGCTTTTGGTGTATTTATTCTTGGTGGCTCATGCGTTAGCGCCTCGGGCAAGGTTACAGCGTTTGGCATTGCCGTAGCAGCAGCCGAAAAAGAGGCGCGCTTCACCAGCGCAGTTGTTGTTTTATGTAGATTTGACATATTTTTGTTGAAAAATTGCTGTAATGGATTTCATTAGAAATTTCACTGATATTTTCATGTGTTTTAATGAAAAATTAGGCAAAGAGAATTCTAGTTTTTACTGTTTCTCAGTAGTTTTTAGAAGCCTTGTTTGGTTCTTGGAAGCCTTTTTCAAGTCTTATAACAATTTTTCAAAACTACTTACAAGGCTACAGTACTATCGAATGAAGCCACTTGCTCAATCTAAAAGCTTCCCCGGAAATACAATATATATGAGATAGCTCACTTTCAGATTTCATAGAATTTATTAACGAGTGCATCATTCTCAGACACCAGTATAACATTTTTTTCAGATTTTTTTAATTTACATTTCATCCAGGGTAATGAATGTATGTAACAATACATACATATATGTATATGATATATAGATATATTTGCAAATAGGAATATCAGTCTTAATCGCTGAAGCAAGAGACCCAACATTCACTTTTATAACGAAAATATTTAGGCAATAGCATTTTTTATTTATTATATAATAAAACAAATCCATAAACTCGGATAAATAATTATTGAAAAGAACGTCTTAAAGGAAGTATGCATCCACTTCGATAGCAGAACTGCTATATAGGCCTTGAGCTTGGTGACAGTGAGCTCAAAACTAGTCAAGGAATACAAGATCTCACTAGCTAGGTGCCTGGCACTGCGGAATCGTCGAAAACTGTAAAACTCGCTTGCACCCTTACACAAGTCCCATCAGGATGGGAGCACGAGCAGGTGTTCCTCTGTCTTCGTGCACTCGGTCGCTGGATCTGTGGACCTCGCGAGAGCACAGTAAGCGTTGGTCAGCAATCAACACTTGTGATATTGTGAAAACGGTCTGGCTTAGAGTGGAACTTAAAAGCCCAATGAAACTACTAGCTCTTAGCAAGGTTCATATGACCGCAACACCTATTGTTCTAACTGGACACTGTCCCGTTGGCTTAAGCAAGGAAGCTGTCGTGGGAGAGAAAATGCAACTTGTAGAAGTTACATTAAGGAATATGAGGTGGAAACATCTAGACACTTTCTCATCCACTCTCCAGCTTTCACAAGTGTAAGGTTGAAGCATCTTAGTTGTCATACTGTCATACTTTGTACGAACCCGGCGAATTGGCTGGAGTATGCATTAGCCGGCTTAATAAATTTGTATCTTGCTCTAGGCTCTTAGACATCATACACCCTGTATAACCAAACCTAACCTCACTTTGTCAGCTGTAACTATCTGCGTTAACTATAAATATTAAATACTATTTACTTAGTGCATACTTTGAATCTGCAATTTCCTCTAAAAGTTCAACACAAACACTTCTTTCATTCAAATATTTATGCACTTATCCCCGGTAAGTTGCGTATTCACAGAGCTAACAGCAGATGACTGCAATTAAAAATATGTACATACGAAAATATTTATATATACACACTTTTCAAGCAACTGATTAGAAATTCGCAATCTAAATACAACAAAAGCAAGAAAAATCGTTAACTGTGCTTGCACCAATAATATTTCATTATCACAGCATGAAAGCGTATTAAAAGTTCTTTATCTTGATTTTGATCGTTCGGTTCGTATGGCAGCTATATGCTATAGTGGCCCAATCTGAACAATATATTCGGAGTTTATTCCAAATTTCGTGAAGATATCTTGTCAAGTAAAAAAGTTTTTCATATTAGCACTTAATTTTGATCGTTCAGTTTGTATGGCTGCTATATCCTATGGTGTTCCGACATCGGATTTCGACAAATGAGCAGCTTCTTGGAGAGAAAAGAACGTGTGAAAGTTTTCAGATCGATATCTCAAAAACAGAGAGACTAATTGGCGTATATATGTACATACAGACGGACACCACTAAATCGACTCAGCTCGCCACGCTCATAATAAATACATACATTTTATGGAGTCTTCGACGTTTCCTTCTGGGTGTTACAAACTGTTCATGGCAAACTTAAAACACCAGTTTCTGGATATAAAAATTTATGTTCACTTTCAAGGCACATTTGTTGCACTGAATAAATACACAGTTGGCAACATTAGTCCAAGTCATCATAAGTGCAACATTTGTTGACAGCATAAATTTACATTCGACGCGCTCGACAGACATTTCTGCTTGTCAGCTGCGCTAATGGGTGTGAAAATATGTATAAGTGTGGGTGGGCGTTTGTCTTGATTTGTTTATAATGATATTTAGACGTTGCTATTAAATATTAAAATGTAATTTTATATGCCCGGCAAAAATAGAGAGAGATCCATTCTGAACAACTACCAAACAGAGATGGGATCGGAAACAGCTATATAAATTATTTCATTCTCATAAATTTTTAGGCTAAATATAAACTAACAGATGTATATTTTAGTACCATATGATATACTCGTAATAGTAGGCGCAGTCTGTTTAACTGCTCTGTCAAAATACTTCGCATTCAAATTAGCGTGATGCGCAATTCTCATGATAGTGCAAATTGATTTCAGTTATTTTCCCCACTCACTTATTCATCGACTTTGCAATGTAATATTGCTATTGCTCAAGGTAATGTGTATTAACTTTTAAGAGTGTTAAGAAATAGTAATACAATAGCATTGCAGCAATGTGCAGACCAGAGCTTAACGAGCTTAGATGGGGTGTAAGAAAGACTCTTAAACATACTACATACATATTTGCACGCCAGTACTCAATAGTATATGTACATATATTGGACTTTCGCAGTAGATTTTAGTGTTATTTAATATTAATAAACTTTCCGCTTACTTCACTTCACTTTTACTTTCTGAGTTAGCAATGCGGGTGACTTTGGATGATTTCAATTTGGGCACCACTGCAGACATTTATATGCTTCATGGGAATTATATTTGGTATTTTTGGAACTAAAACAGTTGATGACTAGACTGTCTTAGTATTTAATTTAAGTTTAGCCCTTCACCAATTGTGAGCAAATTTTAAGCCTTGTAAAGTGGCGAAAAAAACAAACAACTGGCATAAATAAGATATTCTAAATTTATTAATATATCTATTATAGGGTAAGTTATCCACTTGAACGACGTATCCACATATTTCTCTGAACTGGGTATAGTAATTGGTCGGACAGCCTATGAAGTATATATATATAATATCCTTCTGTCTATATACCAAATGTTACATATATGTCAACTAGTCTAAAAGTTTTTGAGATATCGATCTGAAATTGTGATAATTCACGAAATTTGACGGATTATTGTTCAAGGTAACCGTGCAATCTCCGAACGATTTCAATCTGACCAATCAAAATAAAATAAATATCTGCATAAAAGATATTTTTGTCTTATTAAGTAACTTAATTAACTTGAAGTTGTTTATATCAAACAACTAGAAAGAACTAGCAAAACGTTTTCCGTTGAATGCAACCTTTGCCCATTTACGTTTTCAGATTTAGTATAAAATATTTGCTATAAGAAATATACCTGTGCAGAGCATAACAACTTCAGAGCAGCGAAGTTGGTTTTATCTTTTGACAACTCAAAATAGCTAGAATAGAAGTGACAAATCGAAGAGGCTTATATAATCTAAGTACATCGAAACACAGATGAGATAGAGAATAAAGTCTATACAAAAACCTTTGCACTGCTAGTTACGAGTTCGTGCGGTTGCGTTTGAAAATAAATACTTTGAACGTGAAGTCCTGAAGAAATTATAAGTGCAGTTAACTTACTTACTTAAATATATTTTTTAAATATCTTAGTATAGGTAGATTGAACTGATTGTTATAATGTCAGTGTATTTGTACAATTTTTATTGAAGATATCGAATAAGGGAGAGGAGTACATAGAAAGTTTTTTTTTTGCTAAAATCTAAGTTAGCGGCAGTAACAGCTAGACGGTATCTGGTAATGTCGGAAACTCCGATAAAAATCAAAAAGCTTAAGAAGGGAATTCTAGCAGAGGCATGAATTTCAGGTAATTTTTGAAGTGTTGTAAAAACAGCAATTACATATTTATTATGCATTTTTTTTTATTAGTTATTATATATATTTTGTAATGTTACAAGATACAGAAATATCATAAAATGAAAAGTTCAAAATTTCAAAAACTAGCGCTGATGAATTGGGGTTTCTGGAAAATTGGCACGTGACCATACACACGATTTCAGCTAGTGTATAAAACCAAAACAAAATTAATCTAGAATAAGTCTGCAATGTCTGGACACTGGAAAAACTTCACGAAATGGCGACTGCCTGAATTAAAAACCA